ATCATTTGGGTAAATGCCCAAAAGTGGGATTGCTGGGTCATAGGGGAGCTCTTTGTGGAGTCTTTTGAGGAACCTCCATACTGCTTTCCAAAGTGCTTGAACAAGTTTACACTCCCACCAACAATGCAGTAAGGTTCCCTTCTGTCCACATCCCCTCCAGCATCTATTATTAGAGTTGTTGATTATAGCCATTCTAACTGGGTGAGGTGGTATCTCAATGTTGTTTTGATTTGCATTTCTTTCATGGCTAGAGAGCTTGAGCATTTCTTCATGTGTTTATTGGCCATTCTTATTTCCTCTTCAGAGTCTTTAGCCCACTTATTTATTGAGCAGTTGTTTCTTTGAGGATTTGTTGTTGGGGGGATTTAAGTTTTTGAGTTCTAGGTATACTTTAGATATGAGACCATTGTCCACTGTATGGCTAGTGAAGATCTTCTCCCAATCTCTGGGCTTTCTGTTGATCTTGCTAGCTATGTCCTTTGCCATGCAGAAGCTCTGCAACTTCATGCTGTCCCATTTGTCCAAAACAGACCTATAGCCACCTAATCTTCAATAAGGGAGCTTAAAAAAATAGAATGGAAGGAATGGTGCTGGCAAAATTGGTTAATTACTTGTAGAAAACAAAAGTTAGATCCTTTTTTTTGGGGGGGGGTCCGGTCATGGGGCCTGAACTCTGGGCCTGGGCGCTGTCCCTCAGCTCTTCAGCTCAAGGCTAGCGCTCTACCACTTGAGCCAGAGCGCCACTTCTGGCTTTTTTCTTTTCTTTTTTTTTTTTTTGCTTATGTGGTGCTGAGGAATCGAACCCAGGGCCTCAAGCATGCAAGGCAAGCACTCTACCACTGAGCCACCTTCCCAGCCCCTAAAGTTAGACCCTTATATATCACCCTGCACCAGAATCAACTCCAAATGGATCAAAGACCTAAGAATGAAAAGGATCTGAAACACAGGGAGGTTGTCTGTACATCTTAGAAGGAGCATCTGACTGATGGTTGGGGCTTCTATCAACCTCATCCCATGATGAAAGGTCCTGCTCAGCATGACAGGGGAGCAAGGTGCTGGGTGACAAGATTGGGGGCAGGATCAGCATTGGTCAGCTGGATGGTTGTGGAGCATCTTTGCCTTTCCTTTCTGTGTGGTTGTTGTACAGACTTGTTAGGAAGACTCTGCTTCTCCGGAGATGCCCTGGAGAAGCCCCAGAGAAATCTTTTTCAAGAAATATAAAAGTTACAGCTTTACTGTGTTTGTCTTGTATAAGGCAAAATGTGTAATAGCTATTTGTTAGTATGATAAAAATAGCAGTATTGTTAGAGCTCATTACATGTATAATAATTTATGGATTATACAAATGGTCACCTCAAGTCAGGTACCAAGTTATTCAACATTTGCCTCCTTTTTTGCTACTTGTGATTTATTTTTTGTGCCTGTCCTGGGGTTTGGACTTAGGGCTTGGGCGCTGCCCCTGAGCTTTTTTGCTCAAGGATAATGCTCTACATCTTGAGCCACAGTTCTACGTTAGACTTTTTGGTGGTTAGAGATAATGGTCTCATAATATACTTTCCTGCCCAGGCTGGCTTCAAACCATGATCCTCAGATCTCAGCCTCCTGAGTAGTAAGGATTGTAGGCATGAGTCAGGTACCCAGCTGTACTTTTACCTCTTAAAATATTAATGTACAATGTGAAACACACATCAGTTGTCTTCATGGGACAGGAGGGGTTGTTTGGTTTTATGAGAGTTAGCCCAGGCTGACCTTGAACTTGGGATCTTTCTGCCTCAGCTTCCCTAATACTGGCATGTGCCACCATGCCTACTCTGAGGTTTAGTTTTATTAGAAGCTAAATAGCATTCACTTGTCAAATGACTCTTGTCCTTCTCTTTTTGTTAAGGTCCGAGACTTATTTGCCCTTGCTCGGAAAAATGCCCCTTGCATTCTCTTCATTGATGAGATTGATGCTGTGGGAAGGAAGAGAGGACGAGGCAACTTCGGAGGGCAGAGCGAGCAGGAGAACACACTCAATCAGCTACTTGTGGAGATGGATGGTGAGGTGTCACTTCTAGATGTCTCTTATATTTATGTAGTGACAGTTCTTGCTATGAGATTGTTAGAAAAACTAAAACATTTTCTAAAACCTTAAAAAAGTGCTCTTTTAGCAATAGCTTTGAGCAAAAAGCTTAGAGACAGCACCCAGGCCCTGAATTCAAACCCCAGGATGGTATGTGCTTATGTGTGTGCATGCATGAGTACGTGTGCACACACACACATGCACACATTCTTTTATACCAGTACTTTGTCTACCTGTCTTATTATTTTTATTTTATTTATTTATTGTCTGTTGTGGGGCTTGAACTCAGGGCCTGGGTGCTGTCCCTCAGCTCTTCAGCTCAAGGCTAGCGGTCTACCACGTGAGCCACAGCACCCACTTCAGGCTTTTTCTGCTTATGTGGTGCTGAGGAATCAAACCCAGGGCCTCATGTATGCAAGGCAAGCACTCTACCACTGAGCCACTTTCCAAGCCCCTATTATTTCTATTTCTGTATTGTTACTATAAAGGTGATGTATAGGGAGATTACAGTTAAATATATCAGGTAATGAGTACATTTCTTTTTTTTTTTTTGGTGGGTCGTGGGTCTTGAACTCTGGGCCTTGGGCGCTGTCCCTGCGCTCTTCAGCTCAGGACTAGCACTCTACTACTTGAGCTACAGCACCCCTTCTATGAGTACATTTCTTTATGGACAATGTTACCCCTTCTCTTGCTGTCTTGTGGTTTCCTTCCCATCCCCATCCACAGGTCATATAGTTCATTTTCAACAAAGTGTCTAGTGAGTACCACTATATTTATTTACCCTTTGTCCCTCCCAAAGACAGATAAAAGGACAAACACACAAAAAGAAAATGAAAACAACAAAGAAAAATCCTCGTTTCCATTTCCCATAGTTCATTTGGATACATATTATTTTATATGATCAGATGCACATAGGCATTACGCCTTTGTGTTCCTCACCTAATAGCTTGTCTTAAATTAGTGCTGATGCTAAGATGTTCGTGTTGAATAAGAGATAAATTAGGGAAGTGATTCACAAAAGAATTACAGTTTTATTCTCATCATTTGTGGTCTGAAGCATCAGGAAAACCCAAGCTGCTTGGGAGTGTAGCTCACTGCTGTCATCCGGCATTGAAAGAGGTTCAGACTGAACAACTCACCCAGGGAAGATGGAAACTCAGAATTTAAGCATGGCTTCTACTGAATGCTTAGTGTACATTTATTTAGGAAAACCAGTTCCTAGGATCTGGCATCCTTCCTCTCGGAAGGAATGTGGACACAGGGCTGTGTGTGTGTGCAGAAAAGGAAATGGAAAACTCAATGTCACACACTGGTTTATAAAGTGAAGCCAGGCATTATATCCAAATGAGAGGGTTGAGATTCTGTTCCATTGTGTGGTTTCAGGACGCACCATCTGTGTTTAGTCCCAATATTTGGGGACATCAGACCATCAGTTCTTCCAGTGCCAGGGTTCTTACTGTTTTTTTTGGGGGGGGGGAGCTGAGCATCTTAAGTCTAGAGAAGAGATTACAGAAGAAAGTTGTCATATGTTCCCAGATACATAGTGGCTTGTGGTCCAGGAAGTCATTACTTCATTTACAAACTTAACCTGATATGTTTTTAAACATTTTTAAAGTTGAGAAGACCATCTTCTAAACTTCTAGTTAACTTGAACTACACTCCAAGCCCATTTTGCTTTCATTTTCAGATAGGACCTTGTGGTTTGGACCTATGCCTCCCAGTAGCAAGAATCATAGATGTGAACCTCCACTCCTAGCTTGCTTGTTGACATGGAGATTTCACTAACTAACTTTTTGCTTGGGCTAGCCTTGAATGACAGTCTTCCTGATTTCCACCTCCTGCATAGTTGAGATTACACATCTGAACTACTATGTTTCACTAGGAATAGCTCTTTGCAGGGAGAAAATAGGATTATGGTTTGAACTCTACTTGCTTGCGTTGTTCACTTGGCTGACACTCTACCACCTGAGCTATACTTCCAGCCTGATTTCTCCTGGTTATTTTTGGAGATGGAGTCAAGGGGACTATTTCTGCCTGAGCTGGCTTTGAACCATAATCCTTCTGCTCTCAGACTCCTGAGGAGCTAGATTACAGGCATGAGCCACCAATGCCTGGCTTTAGAATAACGTCTAATCTGTAACATGGTAGGGTAACTATGTTTAACAACAATAAGTTGCTTATTCTATTTCAAAACAGCTAGTAGGATTTTTGAATGAATGCTCCCAACACAAATATTAAGTGTGAGGAGGTGGATAATCCCTTTTTTCTAATCATGTGTCAAAATGGTAAATTTTACCCTATAAATAGCTATAATTATGTGCTAATGAAAGCAAGTATTTTTTAAAAATATAGGTAAGTATTTACAGAAACTTATATTTTGGTCACTAAGAACAAGATGAATAGTAAGAACTAATTCAAATTTTTAACTTTAGGAACCCCTGGACAGCAGTAGAAAGCTGTGCTCAATGCAGCATAGCTTTCTTTATAGGCACTTTAGTTTCCTTTCTATGTCATTTAGTCCTCATTGCATGTTCATTGTGTCTTCTCAGGTTTTAATACTACAACAAATGTGGTCATTTTGGCTGGTACCAATCGGCCTGACATCCTGGATCCAGCACTGATGAGGCCAGGCCGCTTTGACAGGCAGATCTTTATTGGTAAGACAGTACTTACTGAGTTTGGTCCACCTGTGGGGATAGGAGTGACTGTCTTACAGTGATCTTTTTGCTTTGAAAATACTTTCTAAAGGACCACCAGATATAAAAGGAAGAGCCTCTATTTTCAAAGTTCACCTTCGGCCACTGAAACTGGACAATACCCTGGAAAAGGAGAAACTGGCCCGAAAGCTGGCATCCTTAACCCCAGGGTTTTCAGGTGAGTGGAAATCACCACTGTCTTTTTCTAAGTTCCTGATGAGTATCTGGTACCGTTCACTCCTATACTTCTTGCCTTGGGGTTCCTACATAATTTTTACCTTCTAGTTGTGGCAGATTTCAAACATACAGAATTATAGGAAGTATGTAGTGAGCCCATCAGCACCTATCAGCTTTAGGAATGAGCAATCATTAAATCACATCCAGCCTCAGTTCATCTGTGTTCTACCCTCTTCTCACTCCCTCTCAAGTGGATTATGACTTATGGTTGACAGCTTGTCTTCTTATCCATAGTGATCTTTGTTTATAATGCTGCTGAGTTGAAATTAACACACTTGTAGTCTTTACCCATATAAAATGTACAATTTAGTAATTTTTAGTATACTCAGAATTGTATCATTATAGTCTAATTTAGAAATATCAGCAGTTTTTCTGTGGCTGCCAGACCTGTACAACCCTTAATCTACTTTTAGGCTTTCAGACTTTCCTGTTTTGGACATTTTATATAAATGAATTATGTTGCCTGGCTTAGCATATTCACTTAGCATATGGTTTTCAGAGTTCATTGATTTGGTAGCAGTTAGCAACATTTCATTCCCTTTTTTTTTTGGTCATGGGGCCTGAACTCTGGGCCTGGGCGTTGTCTCTCAGCTTTTCAGCTCAAAGCTAGCATTGTACCAGTTGAGCCACAGCACCACTTCTGGCTTTTTCTGCTTATGTGGTGCTGAGGAATCGAACCTAGGGCCTTATGTATATACTAGGCAAGCACTCTATGACTGAGCCACCTTCCCAGCCCCTCATTCCTTTTTATGGCCAAATAATACTCAGAGTATGGCTATTTTATATTTTATATAGCTGTTTGTCAGATAAAGGATATTTGGCTGGTTCCTACCTTTTTAATAATTTTTTTTGAGATTAAGTGATTACATAAATTTCACATGAAATCGTGATACTTAAAGTCATAAACAGATTTTAACCTTCATGAGATAAAAATTATTATCAGGGTCTATAAAGTTTGTGAATTCTATGAGCTTTGATAATACTATTTCTTTCACATCAGGTGATATGTACATTTCTTTCCTTTTGTTTAGTGTCAGCTGTTCCCTTTTTTTTTTTTTGTCAGTCATGGGGCCTGAACTCTGGGCCTGGGCCCTGTCCCTTAGCTCTTCAGCTCAAGGCTAACGCTCTACCACTTGATACATAGCACCACTTCTGGCTTTTTTCTGCTTATGTGGTGCTGAGGAACCCAGAGCCTCATGCATGCAAGGCAAGCACTCTACCACTGAGCCACCTTCCCAGCCCTCAGCTGTTCCCTTTTGCCCTCTCATTCCCTCTCTCCCATCACTGCCCTTGAGTTGCTTAGTTCATTTTTATCAATGTCCAGTGCAGCTAATGGGACCCTCTGTTGTGTGTTTTCTCCCGGGGACTTTCCTGCCTGGACAGACTTTGAACCATTAATCCTCAGATCTCAGCCTCTTGAGTAGCTAGGATTATAGGCAGAAGCCACTGACATCTGGCTCATCTACAGACTTTTTTTTTGTCGGCCGTGGGGCCTGAACTCTGGGCTTTGGCACTGTCCCTCTGCTCTTCAGCTCAAGGCTAGCACTCTACCACTCACAGCGCCACTTCCAACTTTTTCTGCTTTTGTAGTGTTGAGGAATCAAACCCAGGGCTTCATGTATGCAAGGCAAGCACTCTACCACTGAGCCACCTTCTCAGCCCCTCATCTGCAGATTTTTTTTTTTTTTTTTTGGGTCCGGTTGTGGGGCCTGAACTCTGGGCCTGGGCGCTGTCCCTCGGCTCTTTAGCTCAAGGCTAGCACTCTACCACTTGAGCCACAGCACCGGCTTTTTCTTTTTGCTTATGTGGTGCTGAGGAATCGAACCCAGGGCCTTGAGCATGCAAGGCAAGCGCTCTACCACTGAGCCACCTTCCCAGCCCCGAATCATCTGCAGATTTTTATGTGGACATTTATCTTCATTTTTGTAGGTTTGTACACCTAGGATTGGGATTGCTGAGTCGCATGATAATATTTGGCTTTTTGAGGAACTATTTGAATGGATAAATCATTTTACTTTTCACTAGCAGTGTATGAATTTTGTGCCAGAGCCCTCACATCCTCCCCAATCCTCGCTATTGTCTTTGATTAGCCATCCCAAGGGCTTGAAGTGGTTTTCATTGAGGTTTTGATTTGCATTTTCTAAGTAACTGGTGATACTGAATATCTTTTGGTGTGTTTAATTCCATAAGCTTTTTAAAATATAAATTAGTATATTTCTTATTCCTTATCCTTCCTAAACTCAAAATTAAAAGTTATATTTTAGAATAGAAGGTTTTATACAACTGTATGGCTAGAATATGGTCATATTAAATGTCATAGGAGTTCTGGTGTTTTACTTAATTCTTGTGTGTGGACCATGGAATTTTCAGTGTTTTATATTTTATTATATTTTATTATACCATGGTATAGCTTAATATATTCTTAATTTGATAATGTAAAGGTGCTTATGGGTTTAAAAAGTATGTGATAAACTTTTACATATTTAAATTGAGTAATTCAGCCAGATGTATTAGATTATTTTAATGCTAGTAAAAATGTTTGTGATTTTATGTAAGCTTGTTCCTAAAATGAATTTTGCAGAGATAGTAAAATTGAGTTAATTTGTATTTTTGGTTACTGTCTTAATTTGCTGCTTAATGAGACACATGATCTGTTAAAGTACAATACTGTCTGTAATGATCTATTTCTACTAATTCTTTCATCTCAATTTAGAGGGCCAAGATTGTCTTAGACTGGTATAAAATGCTGCAGGATCTTAATATTCTCCTGGATTGAGCTAAATTATATATCCATAAGAGCTGTGCACATGCACTACTGGTTGAGATAACTTTGTTCTCTATCATGTCAGTTGGAGAGTGTTTTGGTGGGTAAGCAATTCCATGTGTTCCTTCTGTAGGAGCTGATGTTGCCAATGTCTGCAATGAAGCTGCTTTGATTGCTGCAAGACACCTCTCAGATTCTATAAATGAAAAGCACTTTGAGCAAGCAATTGAACGAGTGATCGGTGGTAAGGCAGCTAAATGTAAAAGCTAATAAAAAGCATAAGCGTGGTGGTACATATCTATAATCCCTACTCTGAGATGGCTGAGACAAGATAATCTCAAGTTTGAAGCCAGCCTGGGCTACATAATGAGACCTCCATCTAAATTTTTTTCTTTTAAATTGTTATTAATAAGGTGATGTACAGAGGGGTTACAGTTTTCATAAGTCAAGTAATGAATACATTGCTCTTTGTACAATATCCACCTCAAATTTTTTAAAAAACTGATCACTTGAGGTATCTGACTTCTCTGTTTGCTGAGATCTAGAAACAAAGTTTATCCTTTGAGCTGTGGGACTCACTAAGCTTGCTCAGGCCTGCTTACGCTGCTGGGTGTTCAGGCCTCCTCTCCTTGCTCTGTGGTAGGTATGAGTGTGCCTGTCTGTTAGCTGTCACTGTGTACAGAAGTCATGAATAGTTGTTTTTTAATAACGTAGCATGCTAAGAAAGGGAACTACTCTTGGGAGAAGCTATGGGGAAATGCTTTGTTTTTTCAGATAGGCAAGAGGTGCTTATTGAGGCCAAGAAGTAGAATGTGTACTTAGTATGCCAAGGCCGTGGGTTTGATCCCCAGCACTGCAATATTTATAGAAAAGGAAGGCTTCCTAGCTCTTCCTTTATACCTTTTGACCCTGGCAACTCTGCGGGACTTACATGTTGTGGGTATATAGCTTCTGTCACAATGTAATGATGTGGATTAGTATGGAATGCAACATCATGGTTTGCCATCTGTCGAGTGAGGTGCAGGCATAGGCCCACTTCTGCAAGCTGAGAAGTCGTCTTATACTGAGGTCCTCTAGGTCTCTTGCTGATGCTGATGTCAGTACAAACTCTTCTGTGAGAGACTCTGTGTCTCTAGAGTTATACATTGAATTGATTCTCACGTTCCCTTGGCTAACTGTCTGGCCTCATGCACTCTCTAGTCAGTGTGTTGGCTGCTCAGAATTAGCCTGTACAGGCTCTGAATGGGTGCTTCCACATCTTTCACCGTCAGTACTTCTCTGCCTTCTGCCTTCCATTACAAACAGAACACCAAGCACCCTTATTTTTCCAGAACTTGAGGCTGAATACCCAAGATCTTTCCAGACTTTCTGTTGCCTATGAATTTTATATTTCACATTGACCTAAGTCAAGTGAGCAGAGTGCTAAATTTTATTTTCCATTTCTGTTTATTTATCTAAACTGCATATGTGGCCTAGAGGAGTGGAAGAGTTAGGATAAAAATGTGCCTGGCAGGGCTGGGAAGGTAGCTCAGCGGTAAAATGCATGCCTTGCAAGCATGAGGCCCTGGGTTCGATTCCTCAGCACCACATAAACAGAAAAAGCCAGAAGTGGCGCTGTGGCTCAAGTGGTAGAGCACTAGCCTTGAGCTGAAGAGCTGAGGGACAGTGCCCAGGCCCAGAGTTCAGGCCCCACGACCAGCAAAAAAAAAAAAAAAATGCCTGGGGTTAAGATAATGAATGCATGTTTTTGCTGTAGTTGGGTATATTTCAGAGTTGATTAGGAATTTTTAAATTATTGTAGGCAGCTTAGTCATTAAGTTACATTTTAGTCAAGGGAGTGGATAGCATTGTATTGCTTGGTATGTGTATGTATAAGGTAAAGGGATTGTTGAAATTAGGCTTTTCACTTGCTAGGCAGATGCTCTACCACTTGAGCCACATCCCAGCCATGTATAATTATTTTTTAAAGTCAGTATCACTAATACTATGATTTGGGTTTTTGTTACATTTTATTAGGCTTGGAGAAGAAAACCCAAGTTCTGCAGCCTGAGGAGAAAAAGACAGTGGCATACCATGAAGCAGGTCATGCAGTTGCCGGCTGGTACCTGGAACATGCAGACCCCCTCTTAAAGGTGAAGCAGTGTGTCAGACATAGGTGGTCAGCTCAGTGTGTGAGGTCTCACTTCAGCAGGGAGCTGCACTTCCACAAAGGATAAGCTAGCGGCCACAGTGCTTCAAATTGTAAGCATGTGGGTTTTTCATAACCTCTACACAAGTGATGGAACATTGAACATCTTGGGTAGACAAAAAGAGAGCTCAGGATTTGAATAATACTAGAATTTCAACAGACAAATCCTAGAAGCAAGAAAAGCATAGAAGGCCGAGACTCAGCCGGGTGCTGGTGGCTCACGCCTGTAATCCTAGCTACTCAGGAGGCTGAGATCTGAGGATCGGGGTTCAAAGCCAGCCCGGGCAGGAAAGTCCATGAAACTCTTATCTACAATAAACCACCAGAAAGCCGGAAGTGGCGCTGTAGCTCAAGTGGTAGAGTGCTAGCCTTGAGCTGAAGGGCTGAGGGACAGTGCTCAGGCCCAGAGTTTAAGCCCCATGACCGACAAAAAACAAAACAAAACCGAGACTCAGATCTGAGTAGAAACTATCCAAGTCACTGGTTGATTTCATAAAACTTTATGTATACAGGGAAACCCCAGAGAGTCTGGCAGGAAATAGATACCTGAGAGACAGCACATGGAGTAATTTAAAATCTGTAATTTCAACTGTATGCATTCCTTAGACCAGTGCATCACAGGTGACAGAAAGCAGCCTCTTGACTGTCTACTCACTCACCTACCCTCCATGTCAGAAGTCAGCCTGAAACCTGAAGCAAGAGAGATGCAGAGGAGTATAGAGTCTACATAAAACACTAAAGAATCTAGAGAGAAGCCACTAGAACTCATAAGTTGCGACGTTGCAGAATTCAGGTTCAGTATATAAAGGTCAATCGTGTTCTATAGATTAGTAACAAGCAGTTGGAAAACGAAATTATGAGAATTCAATTCCATTTCAGTAACATCTGAAAACATGGAATACAGAGGGATAGATTTAAGAAAGTATTTGTAGTGCTTGTACATTGAATTAAGACCTAAATAAAAACAGATGTGCTATGTTTTTTGAACATTATGTCAGTTCCTCTCAAATTGACCTATAGTTTCATTGTAGTTTTTTATCACAATTATTATCACAGTTTTTCCTGTGGTGCTGGATATCAAACCCTGGGCCTTATGCTAGGTAAATAATCTACCAGTGACCTACACATCTAGCTTCAAAAGACATTTTTGTGGGAATTGTGAAGCTGAATCTAAAATTGTATGGAAATACGTATGAGCTAAACTAAATTGAAGGTGTAAACACCACTTGGTGTTTTAAGACTGTACATAGCTGCTGTGATGAAGGCTAGTACGCTGGCAGAGACCAGTGAGGGAAGCAGAGTGCAAATACCACCATAATTCAGTGAGAAGAAAGATTGTCTTATTAATTGATTCTGATAGCTAAGCATTCATCTGAAGAAAAAAAAGTAAACATTGACTCTTGTTTCATGTACCAAAATTAATTTGAGTTGATCATTAAAACTAAAACTTTGAGCTGGGCATTGGTAGATCACTCCTGCAATCCTAGCTACTCAGGAGGCTGAGATCTGAGGATTGTGGTTCAAAGACAGCCTGGGCAGGGAAGTCCATGAAACTCTTATCTCTAATAAACTACTCAGAAAAAGCCAAAAGAGGTGCTATGGCTCAAGAGATAGAATGCTAGCTTTGAGTACAGAGAAGCTCAGGGATAGCACCCAGGCCTAGAGTTCAAGGCCCATGACCAGCAAAAAACAACAACAACAAAAAACTAAAACTTTGAGGAAAAAATATAGGTAAAACTTTTTGTGGCCTTGTATATGCAGAAATTTCTTACAGCATAAAAAAAAATCAGAAAATGTTAAATGGGATCTCACTGAAATAAAAAACATGGACTTTAAGACTAGTTGTGATGGGTCATGCCTATAATCCTGGCTCCTCAGGAGGTAGACATTAGGAGCATTGTGATTTGGAGCTATTAACAAACCAGCAAGGTATGGTGATGCATGTCTACCATCCTAGCTATGCCAGGGCTGTAGAAAGCAGGATTGTGGTCTGAGACTCTGGGCCAAAACACAAAACCATATCTGAAGAATAAAGCAACAAAGGGGCTAGAGATATGCCCACCTAAGGGTGGGCAAAATACCTGCGTAGTCAAGTACAAATCCTGAGTTCATATCTTAGTACCATCAAAACAGGAAAAACATTTTAAAAGTCTTTGAAAGACACTATTATGAAAATGAAAAATATACTCAGATGTTTTTAATATGTATATGTGAGAGGGCTTATATCTAAAATACATAAATAACTCCTAAAACTCAAAAAGAAAATTAGCAACCCAATAAAAACAGTGGGTAAAGATTTGAGTATCTGCTTTACCATAAATGATATGGATGGGTATTAAATACATAAAAGTGGTTTCATTGGTCACCAGTAAGATAGTGGAATGTTAGCTGGGTGCTGATGGCTCACGTCTGTCATCCTAGCTATTCAGGAGGCTGAGCTCTGAGGATCATGGTTCAAAGCCAGCCTAGGCAGCAAAGTCTGTGAGACTCCTATTTCCAATAAACCACCAGAAAACCAGAAGTGGTGCTGTGTGGCTCAAGTGGTAGAGTGCTAGCCTCCTTACCTTAAGCTGAAGAGCTGAGGGATAGCCCCAGGCCCACAGTTCAAGCCCCATGACAAAAAAAAAAAAAAAAAAAGACAGTGAAATGTACTAATTAGAATGGTTGAAACTTAATAAAATAGTATTGGTGAGCATGAAGAGCACTGAAGCAATTGGAACACTTATTCATTGCTGACAGGACTCTTATTAACATTTCTGTGACCAACTGATTCTTAATATATATCCAAGGTACACAGAAACATGTCCATACAAAGACCCCTGCTGTATCAAGCTGAAAAGAAACCTACTGTCCACCAAAAATGGCACGGATGTTAGATATGTCTGTGCTGTGTAATGAAACATAACAGTAAAACTAAATGGACTAAATATACCTGGAATTATGGACTGATACTAAAATGAGAAAGGCAGACACACTGTGTGGTTACATTTATATGCAAGTCTGGAAAGAATAAATTACCTTTCAGCAGCAATTACCTGGGACTGGAAATAAAAGACGTGTTTAAGAGAAATTTTTGGGCATAATGACAACATTTTGTGTCTTTGTTTGGTCAGAAGCTTGAGTGTTGTGCTGTTTGCTTTGCAGCCTAATATGTACTTTTAAATATTTAAATTATTGTTTCTACTGTATTCATAATAGGATAGTTTGCATTTAACTTTTTTATTTATTTTTTATTTTTGCCAGCACCAGGGCTTAAACTGAGAGCCTCTTGCTCTCTCACTCAGATTTTTCATTTAAAACTGTCACTTTACCAGTTGAACCACACATTCAGTTGTCTAGCATTTTACTGATTAATTGCTTATCTTGTAAACTTTTCTGCCTGGTCTAGCTTTAAACTGTGGTTGAGAGATCCTCAGATCTCAACACACACACACACGCACGCACGCACGCACGCACGCACACCCATCTCAATCAAAAATCTAGTTGTGCTAGTATATGCCTAACATCCCACCTAGTGGAAGGCATGAACAGGAGGATAACAGTCTAGGGTGGTTGGGCAAAAAACAAACCGTATCAGAAAAATGACTAAGGGTCTGGGGTTAGTATACTCCAGTGGTAGAGTGCCTGCCTAGCAAATGTTAGGCCCTGAATTCAAACCCCAGTACTGCCAAAAAACAAAAGCAACTCATTGAGCTTTATAAAGTTAACTGCTAAAAAAAAAAAAAAAAAGGACTAGGAAAGACAAATCAAGGCCCTGTGGGCCTTGGTCTCCAGTGGGGAGGTAGGCATGACTGGAGTGATCAACCTGTGTGGTTTGCTGGTAGAATTCCAGAGATGGACCAGGGTTTATTTGGTAATGATAGAACAATTTGTGTTGGTTTTTTTTGTTTTTTTTTTTTTTAAGACAGGAGGTGCTTTGGAGAACTCTTAATGGAAGGTTATCCAGAAAGGAACTTGTATACCTTCAATCTGCTTGTCTAGCCAAGGCCAGTGGCTGGCCCAGCCAGTGGTATTTGTCTTCCTCTTAGGTTTACCAGTCTTTATTTGGGAGTGGGCTCTCACTGCTGTAAATGTATTTTCCTCACCAGGTATCCATCATCCCACGAGGCAAAGGATTGGGTTATGCTCAGTATTTGCCAAAGGAGCAGTACTTATATACTAAGGAGCAGCTCCTGGACAGGATGTGCATGACTCTGGGTGGCCGGGTCTCTGAGGAGATCTTCTTTGGAAGAATAACAACTGGCGCTCAAGACGACTTGAGGAAGGTCACACAGAGTGCATATGCCCAGGTGAGGCTGAGAAAAGGGGCTTCTGCCTCTTGTTCTTGTTTTGCCTGAGAAAGGAGAGTTCACATGGAACAGACAGCACAGCTGTGCTTCATTGGTTTCTACTTTTTGAGCAAGAATTAGTTCCTAAATCCATCTTAAGCCAATCAAAACTTATAGAAATGAACTTTTTTTGATGCAGCAGTATTTACAACTTACATAAATGAAGTTTCATGTTGATTCCACAATTGGACAGGCCCTGGACATGAACCTCCCCACCTGCCTGTCCCCTATCACCAACCTCTGCCTGGCCAGTCTCTCCTGGCTACTAGAATCTGTCCTTGTTTCCCTCACTTCTCCTGCTGCTGCCCGCATCCCCCCAACAGGAGAGTCAGCTGCCTTTGAACTAGATAGGAACAGCTCTATTCAGGAATTTCTGTTTTTCATCTGGCTGCTCTTTGCCTGTTATCTGTGTCTGTCACTTTTCTCTAATCATTTATGGTGCCTCATTTTAAAAAGAGATTGTTATTTTTTACTAGTCATTTTTTATGTTTCATTTTCCCTTTCTTAGGTCTTTCTTAGGATTATTTGTTCTTTTCGCATTCAAATTTAATCTTTAGTACTTATTCCTTCTTCATTACTAGGACTCAGGACCTTGTACCTAGGCTTTTTTGCTTCTAGCTGTTTTTTAACTTGGATATTGCTTTAGGTCTCAGCCTGCCTAAGACTTTGATTCTCCTATGTATATTTCCCACAGAGCAAGGACTATAGATGTGTTCTACCACACTTTACTGAGATGAAATAGTCTTGCTATCTTTTTTCCCCCCAGGCTGGCCTTGAACCGCAGGTGTCCCAGTTCTCTACCATACAAGTAGCTAATCTTTATTTTTAAAATAGTTTTTCTCACCAGGCCCAGGTGGCTCACGCCTGTAATCCTAGCTACTCAGCAGGCTGAGATCTGAGGATCGAGATTCAAAGCCAGCCCGGGCAGGAAAGTCCATGAAACCACCAGAAAACTAGAAGTGCTCAAGTTATAGAGCACTAGCCTTGAGCTGAAGAGCTGAGGGACAGCGCTCAGGCTCAGAATTCAAGCCCCACGACCAAATAAATAAATAAGTTTTTCTCCTAGAAATAATTTTTTCATACATTCTAGCACCTCATGAGTCTTTCTGTTTTGATTCATGCCATTTTTTTCATATTTTCTATCACTTTGCTGATTTCTTTAGCTGTTTCTGGAAGAGTAGTCACAGGCTTCCTCTGTGTAGTAGACTTGTTTGTCTGATTTTCTTGTCTTTAGAGACCCCATTTTGCATTTTCTTTTTCTCATAACTTCCAAAGGTGTTTTTTACTGCTACTTCTGCGTGCAGTATTCTGCTGCTCTCAGGAGGGAGGAGGGTGATGGAGTCACATTAGGGTCCCTGTTGTTTACACTCAGTGGTAAGGCACTGTTTTCTTGCTTTCCATGCTCCTCTCTCTGCTTGCTCTCCACTTCTGTCTGACCTCTTTTCTGGTCAGTTCAAAGGCTTCTTCATGATGTGCTAGCTAGGTTAGGGCCACACTGTTGGCCTCAGTGCAGGGGAACATGACAAACACCTGTCCAGTGTCAACTGTTCTCAGGCTGGTGTGCACTTTTAGAGAGAGGCTGTTGCAGGTTCCTTGTCATTGTCTTGGTGCATCGGGTGCCTCCTGCTTCTCAGTTTCCGTCATACAGTGAAGACCAATATATTCAGGCTACTGAGGTGTTGGGCTTGTCCCCTGCTCTTGTTGAAATTGCCTGTGGCTTTCTGATTCTGTGCTACCAGGTAAGGAGTTGAAAACATGCCTCTGCTCATTTTTACAGAGCACTGTGTCCACTTTGCCAGCCCCAGGCCACTATATACATCTTGCCTATTAGCTGCCCTGTCTAACTACCACTGTCATGTTCTTCAGATTGTGCAGTTTGGCATGAATGAAAAGGTTGGACAGATCTCCTTTGATCTGCCACGTCAGGGGGACATGGTATTAGAGAAGCCTTACAGCGAAGCTACCGCCAGACTCATAGATGATGAAGTACGCATACTCATTAGTGAAGCTTATAAAAGAACAGTGGCACTCCTCACAGAAAAGAAAGCTGATGTGGAGAAGGTAGGTGCTACACAGTTTTGCATAAAATAAGGTTAAATTGTTTAGTTGGTGTCTGGACTTGAGAATTCCTTTGCTCTGGACTGTGGGGCAGCAGAAGCAGTGCTGTCCTGGCTCGTGGGGAGCTAGGGGAGAACTCCTCCCACTGAGGTCTGGGAATGTCAAGCAAGCTGGCCTGTGCTCCTTCCAGCTTACTTCTCTAGAACTCCCAGGCGAGAAACACAGTTGCCTTGTTGGGAGCTGCCATTTGGTTTTCAGCTCAGGGATAAGTCGTGAGAGATTTTTTTTAAAAGGACAAAAAAAAAAGGTAAGTAGGAAATTGGCATATGAAAATTACCTTTGGCTTGATTGTGAATTTCCATGAACAAATATGTTTTTGTGCCAGGCACTGGTGGCTCATACCTATAATCTTAGCTACTTAGGAGGCTAGAATCTGAGGATTGCAGTTTGAAGCCAGCCTGGGCAGAAAAGTCTATGAGATTCTTTATCTCCAGCAAAAAGCCAGAAGTACAGCTGTGGTTCAAGAAGTAGAGCACCAGCCTTGAGCAAAAAAGCTAATAGATAGCATCCTGACATTGTATTTAAACCCCAATACAGGCATGCATACACACATACACACACACACACACACACACACACACTTTGCATTTTCATTTATATCTCATTTGATAGCACCTACAAAAGTTTGGACTCTCTGAACTCAGTGGATTCCCTTAATTATTTAGAATCCATGAAGCCACAATTGATTTTTTTTGTTCTTTCAACATGATTGTTCATGTAAAATTTAAATGAGAAGGCCTTTTATAAGATACAACTAAAATCATATTCTAAGTTGTAATGTTCAATCAGCAATTTGAGAAGCTATGCTAGGTAAAGCCAGAGGAATCCATACTGCCTGCATTACTGGAGAGAGACCCAGCAGCCACAAAACATGGCCATGCAGCAGGAATAGTCAGAGTGGACAGAGTGGCCCAAGAAGGCTTTAGAAGCTGGGGCTGGAATTGCATCTTGAAGGGTGATCTAGTCACAGTGAAGGAGAGGGCAAGAGGAGAGCACATACCCAGAAGGGCTGGCCGAGGCATAATTAAGTCCTTCCACCAGAGGCATGGTTTAAGTGGTAGAGAGCCAGCTATGAGCAGAAAAGCCAAGTGACAGCCCAAGGCTCTGAGCTCAAGCCCTGGTATTGATGCAGAAAAAAATGAGAAAAATGGTCAAACCCAGCCCACTTGCTTTGTTTTGTTTTTTCAGTTCTTGAAGTTTTCTTTTGTGCATGAGAGGCAGTCTTACTGTTGCCCAGGCTGGTCTTAGACTCATGATCCTCCTGCCTTAGCAGCTCAGTACTGAGATTAGAGTTATGCATTACCATGCCCAATTTGGTCTTCTTGTTTTTTAAAGAACCTTGAACAAGTATGTTGGAAGTTCATTGTTTACAACAGAAGTGTAGCTCAGTATTTGCTTAGAATGTGCAAGACCCTGGGTTTGGTTGCATCTCAAGTTCATTACTGAAGGTGAATGGCTACAGTGTGCTAGCCTAAATGGGATGGCAAAACAAGAATGCCAGCTCAAGGCAGCTGCAGGCACTCTGTAACAGTTCCTAGGTGCTTCTGATGATGGCAGCACAGACAAGATAAAGAGAGGTATAAATTAATAAGTATAGAGAACAGAAAAGGAGAAAACTCTTGAAAGCCCAAAGAAGCTTCTAGTATTAGCCACCAACTGGAGACTAGTGGCAGGAGGAGAGATAATAATGAAGGGCTACAGTGGAGTTTATTTTGGGGTTTGAACTCCAGGCTTTGCACTTTCCAAGCAGGTGCTCTGTTTCTGTAGCATACCTTTGGCCTGTTTTTTTTTTTGTTTGTTTGTTTTTGTTTTTATTGTAAAGATACTATACAGAGGGGTTACAGTTACATGAGTAAGGTAATGAGTACATTTCCTATTGAGCATTGTTACCCCCTCAATTGTTTTCCCCCTACTATCCCTTCCCTCCCTACCTTCCCTGAGGTTCTTTTTTTTTTTTTAATTGTGATTAAATGATTACATAACTTCCCAAATTTCACAGTATTGTGGAATAATGATGCTCATTTAAAGTCACAAGTTCATTCTAACTTTCCTGGAGCAAATTGTCTATCACGGTCTATAACATATAACAGTGTACACATATACACCATACATGTGATCAGCAGCATGGGGATATTTAGTAGTGGTTCGACCAGATGAATGGGAGTTCTTTGTTTCTTAAGTCCTGTTAATTTTGTCGTATCATCTAACATTTTGGATTTAACATCCACTTACCATTTGTCTCTTTGCTCTTGGCTTACCTCGCAACATGATTTCTTCTAGCTCCATCCATTTCCCTTCAAATGCCATTATTTTGTCATTTCTAATGGCTGCATAATATTCCATTGTGTATAGATACCACAATTTTTGGATCCATTCATCTGTGGTGGGACATCTGGGTTGTTTCCATATCCTAGCTATTGTGAACAGTGCTGCAATAAACATGGAGGTGCACGTGTCCTTGTATATTGGTTCCTGTTGTTCAGGGTAGATGCCTAGAAGTGGTATGACTGGGTCATAAGGGAGGTCAATCTTTAGCTTTCTAAGGACCCTCCAGACTGCTTTCCAAAGTGGTTGTATAAGTGTACATTCCCACCAGCAGTGTAATAGGGTTCCTCTTTCTCCACATCCCCTCCAGCATTTGTCGTTGGCTGATTTGTGGATGTGGGACATTCTGACTGGGGTAAGGTAGTATCTCAGGGTTGTCTTTATTTGCATTTCCTTCACCACCAGGGATGATGACCATTTCCTCATGTGTTTCTTTGCCATTTTTATTTCTTCATTTGAGAAGTCCCTCTTTAGTTCCCTTGCCCATTTAATAATTGGTTCGTTAGATTTGGGAGGGATTAGTTTCTTGAGTTCCCTGTATATACTGGATATTAGGCCTTTGTCTGATATATATTGCTGGTAAATATTTTTTCCCAATTAGTTGGTTGTCTTTCTAGCTTGGTTGTGATAGATTTAGCTGTGCAGAAGCTTTTTATTTTAAGGTAGTCCCATTTGTCGAGTCTCTCTCCAATTTGTTGTGACCCTGGGACTCTGTTCAGGAAGTTTCTTCCTGTCTTTGGCCCGTTTTTTGCACTTTTTTAAAAAATAGGTTCTTACTTCCTGCCTGTGCTGGTTTGGAACCTCTCATGAAGCTAGAATTACAGACATCACCCACCAGTGCCTGGCTAGAGTGTACATTTGTAAATGAATGTGGATGGGAGGTCTAGGCCAACAAACACCACTTGTTGAAAACCAGAGGATGAGCTATAAAGGACAGCAGGAGACTCTCTGAGATTATAAGCTCTTAATGTGAGGGCAGGAAGGAGTCCATTTGCCAAGCCTAGAGATGATTGAGTAGATGTAGGAATTTAACCCAGGTATTTTATTCTTCCATACTAACAATGTGTGACATGGAAGTGCTTGTTGAAAGAAAAGCTTGTTTAATGCAGCAAGAGTCTTGAAACACCATAGGATTTTGAAGTGCTCTCTGGCCCATCAGAGAAAGTTAAACAAGCTAAGAACAATGTTGAGCCAGTTAGGCTCTGGGAACCCAGAGAGAGGAGAGGGGCTGGAGATCTGTGACAAGTGGGGCTGCCCAGGACCAACCAGCTTGTGTACCAGGTATTGCTGAGGTAGCTTTTAGGAACCTTAAAAATCCTGCAGCTTCAATGTTATCCCCATTTATAGGCAAAGAGATATCACACGACAGGTCAAGTGACTGGGTAAACTTACAAGTGGCAGAGCCCTTGCCACTCACCTTCAGTCTGTGCTATCTCTATGGCAGCTACAAGTAACCACCAAGCACTTGGAATGTGGCCAGTCTGACTGAGATGTGCTGGAATTTGAAGGTTTGGTATGAAAAAAAGAATGTGATAGGTCTCAATAGTATGTGGGATATGTGTGTGTGTGTGCGCGCGCATGTGCGTGTGTGAGTGCACATGCACGCATGTTTGTCCACTCACACGTGTTGGTCTTGGGGCTTGAACTCAGGGCCTGGGTCCTGTCCCTTAGGTTTTTTTTGCTTGAGACTAGCCAGTGCTTTACCAGTTGAGCCACAGCTCTACTTCTGGCTTTTTGGTGGTTAATAGGAGATGAGTCTCAAGGACTTTTTAAAAAAAAAATTTTGTTGAGATTAAGTGATTACATAAATTTCACAAACTTCACAGTATTGTGGGATAGTGATACTTAGTTAAAGTCACAAACATGTTTTAACCTTCACAAGGCAAATTGAGTCTCAAGGACTTTTCTGCCAGAGTTGGCTTTGCACTGCTATACTCAGGTCTTCGCCCCCTGAGTAGCTGGGATAGTAGTCAATAATAGCTTTTTATGTAACCTGTTAAAATAATGTTGGTATTGGGCTAAAAGACCTTATTAAAGTTTAAGTAGTGAGCCATAATTGTTTTGAGTGTGTATGTACATTTATTGAGAATTAAAAGTGGTGTAAGAAGAAATCCTAAAGCTGTTATTTCCCCAGAACTTATTTTAAAAAATCAGCATATTCAGGGTTTTTAGAGAGTCCTTATCTCTTAGAGATAGATGGAAATATATAGAGACAAAAGCAAGCATAGTGGTGCATGTCTTCAGTTTCAGCAACTCAGGAGTCTAAGGCAGGAGGATAGCCAAGGAGTTTGAGGCAAGCCTGAGCACAGTGAGATCTCAACAGAGAAAAAAACGCAAGAAACTGAAATGCCTCCAAGTTGATGACTTTTTAAAAGTGTTATATTCGCCGGGCGCTGGTGGCTCACGCCTGTAATCCTAGCTACTCAGGAGGCTGAGATCTGAGGATCGCGGTTCAAAGCCAGCCTGGGCGAGAAAGTCCATGAGACTCTTATCTCCAGTTAACCACCAGAAAAACCAGAAGTGGTGCTGTGGGCTCAAGTGGTAGAGCGGTAGCTGAAGAGCTGAGGGACAGCAACTAGGCCCAGAGTTCAAGACTCACGACTGACAAAAAAAAAAAAAAGACCCATTTTTACTACCTATTCACATACTGCACAATTACGTTTTAAAAATTAGAAAAGGTGATTTTTCACTCTTTTATATCTTAAAAGATATTACATTCACTGGGAACTGCAGAGGGAGGAGATGAGGTGGGAGTTACCTGAGAAACTAGATGTGTTTTATGAGTTCGTTCAGTGTATAGTTTTCTTTACAAGATCTGATCTGTAGATGCGGTTCCCACTCTCTTGATACTGTCACCACCCACACTCAGAACTGGTCACCTGTCTCTCTTTGCATAGCATTTAAGATGTGTGGGGTAGTGTCAAATTTGTGGTTCAGGATATATCTTTTCTTTCTTTGGTAGTCCTGAAGATAGAACTCAGGCCTTCTGCTTACTAGGCAGTAGTAGGTAATCTACCACGTTAAGCTACACCCCAGCAGGTACTTACTTTCATGGCTTCACTTTGTCTCTCTGCTTTTTTGTTGTCTTTGTTGTTTTTTCAACTACTTTTTCCATGCACCCCTCCTTCTTTCCAGCCTGCCCCCTCTGTAGATACACAGTATTACTTTTTTAATTTTTATTTTTGGTGGTGGAAGCTTCCATGTAGCACACACTGACCACAAGCTCATAATCCTCCTGCCTCTGCCAAGTGCTGGGATTACAGGCATGTTCTACCTGGTTGTATTTTTCTTTTGTATCCTTGGAGAATTTCATTATTTATCTATGAACGCTAGTAAGAGAAACTAGGAAAGGAAAAGAAACAGTTTCTTTGAGCACAAAAGTACATAGTGCTCAAGACAGCACAGAGTGCTTAAAACTGGAAAAGATGTAGAGATTCAGAGAGCCAGGCTGCAGCTAGGAAGCAGAGTATAGAACTTGCATGATTGGCAGCTGCGGCTAGGCCTTTCCAAGTTTGGGTTTGGTCTCACATTCAGTAACCAGTGGGTGATTGGGTCATTCAGCTGTTTGTGAAGCTCAATTGCTTGTGTAAGGGTTCCACAAGCTAATGGCCTACATGTAAGGCAAATGCAGCCCACTTTACACATTGCAGTTTTCCCTTTTTGCGTAAAATAGTACATCCCAAATGGTATGTAGAATAAAGAACATCTCCTGCCTTTTCCCTCCCTCTCTCCCACCCTCCCTCCCTTCTTTCCTTCCTTTTCTTTCTCTTGCTTGCTTGTTTTCTCTGTTTATTTTTGGTCTGTCCCTGAGATTTTTTTGCTCAGGGCTAGCACTCTACCACATAAAGCCACAGCTCCACTTCCAGTTTTCTGATTGTTAATTGGAAATAAGAGTCTCAAGATTTTCCTTCCTGGGCTGGCTTTGAACTTTGATCCTCAGATCTCAGCCTACTAAATAGCTAGGATTGCAAGTGTGAGCCATCAGCACCTGGCTTCCTACCTCTTTATTACATGTATATAATCTTTAATTGTGTGGATATAAAATGTGTGTATCTGCTTACATACAAGAGATGTTTTTCTCTAATATTTTGCATCTCTTATTCTAAAATTATATGACCTTGTCTTGAGACACCATTTTCAGTTACCTTAGATTCTTTGTTGGGATGAAGTCAGCTGTAAGTAAAAATGTTGTTTTTGAATAGACTTTGCTAACTATTTAATGGAAATTGTTCCTGTTTCAGGTTGCTCTTCTATTGTTAGAAAAAGAAGTATTAGATAAGAATGATATGGTAGAACTCCTGGGCCCTAGACCATTTGCAGAGAAATCTACCTATGAAGAATTTGTGGAAGGCACTGGCAGCCTTGATGAGGACACTTCTCTACCAGAGGGCCTGAAGGACTGGAACAAAGAACGTGAGAAGGAGAAAGAGGAGCCCCCCAGTGAGGAGAAAGTCGGGGAGAAAGTCCCCATCCAGATCCAAGGATGGAGGCCTTTTTAGTCTGGTCTCCTGTGGTTTTGATTTGCTCATTGTTTCAGCTCTGGCTTTCAAAAGAATGGCAGCCCTGCCAGCCACTGACCCAGGGTACTGGGAATGGAGGCCTCCACCTCAGATGTCAGCAGGGGTGGTGGGTAGCTTCCAGAGCCTCAGGGAGACTCCCCCATCCCTGGCCTGTCTGGCCAGTCACCTGGCAATGCCCACCTAGGCCAGTCTGTGGTGCCATCTGTGAGCTTGAGTAGATGGACAGACACACAGTGGGGATGGTTCCTCTGAAGTCTTGATGATGGGGAAGAAGGGTGTTTTCTCTTCTCACCCCTCTCCATTCCTGTTTCTCTCATTTCTCCCTGCAAATGTGCTGTGAAATTAAATTGAAATACTTACAAGAATATTTTGATTTGACCTAATATTTTAAAGATTGAACCCAGATCACTTGTTGCTGTTTTAATGGGATTGTTTTCTATAGAGAACTGTAACATATTTAAAAAATATGAATGTATTCTGTAAATATGGCTCTTTACAACAGAAATAAAGGTAAACCCTGTACTTTTTCCTGAATATACAAAGCGTGTGTATGCTGGGGTTACTTTTAGAAAACAGTGACAGAACTAACAGTTCTTTGTCCCTGGAGGGTAGCTCTTGGAAATCCAGATTGCAGTCCAGGTGTACCTGGGCATAAAGTGAGACTATTTAAAAAATAACCAACCCTTGGGGCTGGGAAGGTAGCTCAGTGGTAGAGTGTTTGCCTTGCATGCATGAGGCCCTGGGTTCGATTCCTCAGCACCACATAAGCAGAAAATAATGGAAGTGGTGCTGTGACTCAAGTGGTAGAGTGCTAGCCTTGAGTTAAAGAGCTGAGGGACAGCACCCAGGCCCAGAGTTCAGGCCCCACGACCGACAAAAAAAAAAAAAAAAAGGAATCAAAAATAACCAACCCAAAAAAGGACTGGTGGAGCTAGTTGCCTGGTGGCTTATGCCTGGAATCCTAGCTACTCAGTAGGCTGAAATCTAGAAGGCATCATAATCAAAGGCATAAGACCACATACTCCATCTCAAAATAACCAGCAAATGGCTGGGCTGAAGGTATGATTCAAGTCAGCAAGTCAAGATCAAGCAAACTGAGGAAACATGAGGCAAAAAAATAACAGTAATTTAAAAGGGACTGATGAGCCAGGTACCAGTTGTCATGCCTAAAATCCTAGTTACTCAGGAGGTGGAGATCTGAGGATTGTGATTTGAAGCCAGCATGGGTAGGGAAGTCTGAGACTCTTGGCTCCAATTAAACACCAAAAAGCTAGAAATGGAGCTGTGGCTCAAGTGGTACAATGTCAGCCTTGAGAGAAAAGGTTAAGGGACAATGCCCAGGTCCTGAGTTCAAGCCCTAGTAGTACACACACATAGAAAAGGCACTGAAGTGGTTCAAGTTTTAGAGCATGTATACACGGGGCTGGGAAGGTGACTCAGTGGTAGAGCGCTTGCCTTGCATGCATGTCAGCACCACATAAGCAAAAAGAAAAAAAAAAGTGGAAATGGCGCTGTGGCTCAAGTGGTAGAGTGCTAGCCTTGAGCTGAAGAGCTGAGGGACAACACCCAGGCCCAGAGTTCAGGCTCCACGACCGGACCCAAAAAAAAAAAAAAAAGCATGTATACACACCTACACATATACATACGAGATTAGCTGGATTTACTGCTATCACAACACGGTTTGTAAAATTCATTTACCTTATGTCATGATGCTGTGTCATGATGGCTTAAGAATCATTGAGAACTGAAGCCTTCTGCTTATGCTGTAGACAACTTTGGCTTTAAATGACAAAGCAGAGGTCACAGGGTTCTGCTTGGTATGTCATGTAGATGGACAATGGGAGGTACTATGTTGCTCAGGATGGCTGCAAAACAGGCAGATGGTACTAATATGGATGCTTCCACTATAAGTGATAGGTGCAATCAGGCTCATTCTCCAATAGGAGTCATGCTAATAGCTAACTTGGCAAGGAGGCTAGGAATAAACTCGAACTACCACAGTAAGGTTTATACCAACTACTAGTGAAACTAACATGGTCATTTCCTGTGAAATCTGACTTGAGTCACAGAAGTTGCAGCTATGGAACCTTAAATTGGGGATGACAGAAAAGAGCACGTCAGCCTCTAGAAGCCAGGCCTGGCTTCCCACAGCAGCCTCGGTGCCCACGGAGGACCAAGGAGCCAATGCTCCTAGCTGTCTAGAAGGCTGAGTGGCACTTCTTGGGGACCTGGCCTGAAGGATTACGTGGTGGTGCAAACCTGTACACAGGAGGGCTGGGAAGGTGGCTCAGTGGTTAAAGCGCTTGCCTTGCATGCCCGAGGCCCTGGGTTCGATTCCTCAGCACCACATAAGCAGAAAAAAAACAAAAAAGCCGGAAGTGGCGCTGTGGCTCAAGTGGTAGAGCGCTAGCCTTGAGCTGAAGAGCTGAGGGACAGCGCCCAAGCCCAGAGTTCAGGCCCCATGACCGGACAAAAAAAAAAAACCTGTACACAGGAAGGCCTAGGCATGTAGCATGTGAGGTCTAGGGTTTGGACTCCAGAGATGAATAAGCAAACGGGCTGGTCTTTTACTTGTACTACTTCCAAGCTCAGGAAAGTTTTGGCTGCCACCCTTAAAGACCTAAGAAAAGTTTTCCAGCTAGGTACCAATGCCTCATGTTTGTAATCCTAGCTACTTGGGAGGCTGAGCTCTAAGGATCACAGTTCAAAGCCAGAAAAGTCTGTGAGACTTCTCTCCAATTAATCTCCAAAAGTGAGGAGAGCTGTGACTCCAGTAGTAGAGTGCTAGCCTTGAGGAAAAAAAACATCCAGGCCCCAAGTTCAAGCCCCAGAAGCAGCGCGCGCGTACACGTACACACGTACACACACACACACACACACACACACACACAGAGTAACTATTCCTTCAGAGAGCTGTAGGTGCAGCTGAGGGAGAGCCTAGCCACCAGCTTTGCCACAGTAACCATACAAATGAACTTCTTTGCCATAAGTAAGTGCACAGCTGAAGCAACAAGGAACTTGATTTAACATTTTATTATGGATAGATTGTTTTAAAGCCCATATTGCATATTCAAATAAGGCAACACAGCACTGGCTTCGGGTTTCATCCCCAAGGATGAAAACATCCTAACTCCCCAGCTGGAAACTTAGTGGAAGTGGGGTTTCTTTCTTCATCCCTTAAGGCCCCTTGGTGATTGCTTTCAAGTCCTCCAGTACAAAATGTCCCTAGTCTGAACCGATCAGGTAGGACTGGCAATTCTTTATTCCAGAGATGGCATTTGCAGAGACCTGCACCAACAACCTTTATTTAAGTCCAGTGCGCCATGGTGCCCTGTGAGGGTTCAAGCACGCACAGGGGCCTATCTTCGTGTCTGGACAGGGAGGCACTCCTACTCGTTGATCTCGTCGTCCTCGTAGTCTTCAAAAGCCTCCTCCCCGTCGTTGACGGTGGCGTCCTGGTACTGCTGGTACTCAGACACCAGGTCGTTCATGTTGCTCTCGGCCTCGGTGAACTCCATCTCATCCATGCCCTCGCCGGTGAACCAGTGCAGGAAGGCCTTGCGGCGGAACATGGCGGAGAACTGCTCGGAGATGCGCTTGAACAGCTCCTGGATGGCCGTGCTGTTGCCGATGAAGGTGGCGGCCATCTTGAGGCCGCGCGGGGGGATGTCGCACACGGCCACCTTGACGTTGTTGGGGATCCACTCCACGAAGTAGCTGCTGTTCTTGTTCTGGATGGCCAGCATCTGCTCGTCCACCTCCTTCATGGACATGGGCCCGCGGAAGACGGTGGCCACGGTGAGGTAGCGGCCGTGGCGCGGGTCGCACGCGGCCATCATGTTCTTGGCGTCGAACATCTGCTGGGTGAGCTCGGGCACGGTGAGCGCGCGGTACTGCTGGCTGCCCCGGGCCGTGAGCGGCGCGAAGCCGGGCATGAAGAAGTGCAGGCGCGGGAAGGGCACCATGTTCACGGCCAGCTTGCGCAGGTCGGCGTTGAGCTGGCCGGGGAAGCGCAGCGACGTGGTGACGCCGCTCATGGTGGCCGACACCAGGTGGTTGAGGTCCCCGTAGGTGGGCGTGGTCAGCTTGAGGGTGCGGAAGCAGATGTCGTACAGGGCCTCGTTGTCGATGCAGTACGTCTCGTCCGTGTTCTCCACCAGCTGGTGCACCGAGAGGGTGGCGTTGTAGGGCTCCACCACCGTGTCCGACACCTTGGGCGACGGCATGACGCTGAAGGTGTTCATGATGCGGTCGGGGTACTCCTCTCGGATCTTGCTGATGAGCAGGGTGCCCATGCCCGAGCCGGTGCCGCCGCCCAGCGAGTGCGTCAGCTGGAAGCCCTGCAGGCAGTCGCAGTGCTCGCACTCCTTGCGCACCACGTCCAGCACCGAGTCCACCAGCTCCGCGCCCTCCGTGTAGTGGCCCTTCGCCCAGTTGTTCCCGGCGCCCGTCTGCCCTGCAAGACCAGCAAGAGGCCCGGTGAGTTGGGGAGAGCCGCTCTGGGAGCTCGCCATGGTGGCCAGGGGTGCTTCTTAAGTGGCCGTGGAAATGACGCCACCCACACTCTGAACAGACCACACAGAGTTCTACCTGCAGGCTGGGTGAATACGAGGCAGGAGAGACATACAAGGATTCAGGCAGACCTGCTCCTACCCCAGGCACCTCCTTATGTATTTGCAAATGGTCCCAAATCCGAATATCCTGAGATACGAAACACTTCCTGCCCACCCCCAAGAATTTTCAGACAAGGGACCCACAACCTGATGACCTACAAATACTTTCTTTTCAAATCAGAAATACTTTACACAGTGTGAATGGAGCCCTCCCTCCTGCATCATCCAGAATTACTCTTGCAAAATCGTTCTCTCCCTTCCTTCCTTCCTTCCTTCCTTCCTTCCTTCCTTCCTTCCTTGCTTTCTTCTCTATTTCTCTGCTTTCTTTTTTCTCTTTCTTTTCTTTTGGGGGCAGGGACCTTACACTCTTGCTTAAGCTATTTTGTTCAAGGTGGTTACTCTATCACTTGAACCTCTACATCTGGCATTTGCTGGTAAATTGGAGCTAAAGAGTCTGGAGAATTCATCTGCCCAGCTGGAATTGAACCATAACCATCAGATCTCTTGAGTTTATAGGTAGAATATTTGCATGTGCTGGGCCTGGTGGTACATGCCTGAAATCTTAGCTACTTGGAAGGAGAGATGTGAAGATGAAGAGTATGAGGCCAGAACAGACAAAGGTAGCAAAACTTATCTCAAAAACAAAATTAAAAACAGAAGAGGATGTATTGGAAACAATGATGCATGCCTATAATCCCAAGTATGCAGGAGACAGAGGTGAGAGGATAGAAGTTTGAGGCCTGCACCCAGAGAAGATCAAACCTGACTAAAGAAGAGGTTGGAAGTGTGGACTAGGTGGTAGAGTGCCTATTAAGCACAAGGCCCTGAGTTCACACTCCAATACCACATCAAAAAGTCATCATATTTTGTTACATGTATTCAACAGAATTGATATAAAAATCAGAGATAAATCTAGTAAGAAATTATTTTTAAATTCTTATGATTAGTATGTACTTTTTCCAATTAGTTCATTTAAACAAAGGTGAGAATTAAGTATTGTGAGATGAGACAAGATCTGGCATCAATTCTTTTCATTCTTAATTACTGGAAAACCAACCAGGCACCAGGGGCTCATGCCTGTAGTTCTAGCTACTCAAGAGGTTGAGATCTGAGGATCAAAGTTCAAAGCCAGTCTGGGCAGGAAAGTCCATGAGATTCTTATCTCTAACCAGCAAAAAACAAGTGGAGCTGTGGCTCAAGTGGTAGAATATCAATCTTGAGCAAAAGTTAATTAAGAGCACAAAGCCCTGAGCTCAAGACCCAGAACCAGCATAAAACGAAAGTAAATAAATGATTTCCCCTGGGCTCAGCAATTATACCCTAGTTTTTATAGATAGATAAATCTGCATGTGTACAAAATGACATCCATGATGGTGATTGTGCTAAGAAATTCTCTCTCTAGTAACAAGCAAAAGCAGCTCTGGCTGATGGAAAAGCTTTAAATACGCAGCTGAAGCTAGAGACCACATACCAAACAGGGCAATACAGTGCATTCAAGGAGCCGTCCCTACACATGTGCAGAAAACAGTTTTCGAAAGAAACAGAATCTTGCAGTGTTTAACTCTGGAAAAAGGCTGGGCTTGTAAAAGCCCAGCTTGAAGGAGAAAGGGAATCATCTTTTAACTCAGTGTCTTTTTGTTCCTTTTGAATCCTGTAATGGGATCTAAGCAAAAGTTATCTTTATGGTTTTTTGCCTTATTCTTCTTTATTTCCTTTCTCTCTCTCTCTCTCTCTGTGTGTGTGTGCATGCACACGCTAGTCCTTGGGCCTGAACTAGGGCCTGGGCATTATCCCTCAGTTTTTTGTGCAAGGCCAGCACTCTACCACTTAAACCATAGACTCGCTTCGGGATTTTTGGTGGTTAATTACAGATGAATCTCACAGATTGGCTGGGCTGGTTTTCCAACCATGAAACTCAGATTGTAGCCTCCTGAGTAGCAAGGGTGACAAATATGCACCAACTGTTTGTTTTTTTGAGACGGGGTCTCACAATATAGCCCAAGTTGGCCTCAAACTCCCTCTGGGCTGCACCTCCCAAATGCTAGGATTAAAGGCATAAACAATCATGCCACTTTTTTTTTTCAAGCTGGAAAAATCAAGGAAGAGCTCCTGGCCCCAAGTTCAAGCCTCATAACTGGCAGGACAAAAATTAAAATGCAATTTTCAAAACCTAGGCTGCAGTGAGACAGTGACTTAAGTGGCAGAGCCCCAGCCTTGAATGAAAAAGCTAAGAGAGAGCACCAAAGCCCTGAATTCAAGCCTCAGTAGCAGCAACAAAACAAAACAAAAACCAGGCTCTCTCTGCAGGCTGGGATCACTTCAAATTGTGTTTATAAAATTTTCACTTAACAATGATGCACTTTATGAGAATCAAGGGAAAATTACAATATAAAAACTTGCCTCTAGGGAAGCGATTAAGTGTCCTGGGTAAGTGGGAAAGGGCTATATGGGACATGTGCAGTGGGAAGGCATTTGCTGTCGTAGCAAATGTGCCGTGTGCATGTGTGGACATGTCCACCCATCCCATGGCATGAGACTTCAGGGGCCATCCTTAGACGGGCCGGGCGTTCCCAGATTCTCATATATGCTTGAGTCTCACTTGGCAAGATAGCACATGTGCGTGCTCCGCTTTCACTTCATAATGAACACATTAAGCATGCCACTGAATGTTATTACACTAAAGTGTTCATTTTATTCCATGTGCAATAAAAATGTATTAGAACACATTTCTATAGTTAAGTTCTTGAGAGCAGAATGGTCACGTGAAGCTAACTACAGTGGCCTTCCACGCATGATCTCCGTCCCATGGGCTGTTCAATGCCCCTGTTCCAGGCCACAGGCACAGCAGCACAGAAGCTTCCTTGCCTGCTCCTGCTTCATACGCTGTGGCAGCCACCACTCCAGCCTTTCAGGGTACAACTTCCTTAGCTCATTTTCTCACAGGACCCTGGCACATCTAGGATGTGGATAATCTCCCTTATGAACAAGGAGATTCTCAGATTCTCTGGGTTAAAATGCCCAGTGAAACCTCCCCCCCTCCTCCCTCCCCCTTTTTCTCTCTACCACCCTCCCTTCTGCTGGCACTCTACCACTGGAGCCACACCACCTCCACTTCTGGCTTTTTGCTGGTTAATTGAAGATAAAGAGTCTGCCCAGGCTGGCTTTGAACCTCAATCTTGGCCTCCTGAATAGCTAGGATTATAAGTATGAGCCATCAGTGCCTGTCTGGCTGCCTTAGACTCAAAACTGGTCATTGTCCTTTCTAAGCCCCTATCAGCCCGGCAGACAGCAGTTGGCCTACACCCCAACATAGACATTGGGAAGAACAAAGCCAGGGCTACTTTCATATCTGAAGCTAGCCTCAGCTCAGGGCTAGTCTTCTACTTGTCACTCAATGGGAAACTCTTATACCTTTGCAAAAGACTAAACAGAATTGTGAAAAGAGCCGAGGAATCATCTTAGTAAAATAGCAGAAACCATAGCAGATGGTTCAGGACAGACACAAACCCAGAAAAATCAAACTTGCTCTACTTGTAAGTTACAGGACTCTGAAACTTGGCATTCTGCTTTCCCAGCTCATATGAGCAACTCTCCCAGCATGATTTGTTACCAAGATGTCTCTGCTCTTAACAAAAGCGGGAAGCTGTGGCTTCGAAAATATTTTGCCACTGTCTCATAGCAACAGACATAAGCAGTTAAATATTTCGGGTCATAAGTTGAACATCTTCTGGCACTGGTTCGCAGTTACACTCATCAGTGACGGCTGCTTGTTAAACACCAGCTTTCGCCCACCAGCACTGCAGCAGCTCCGCTCCTAAGTCTTCCCTCTGGTATCTTCCAGCTCCTCTGGGTTGACAGATAAAGTCTTGGTCTCCACATACTCCCTGCCTCCTGGATTCTAGCCCTGAATCTTCTAGAAGGAAGCTACAAATACGTGAAGCTTTGGGAATCTGTACCTCCACTTTCTTCCCCCAGTCTAATTGATATGTCTGCTAGATAACCAGTAATTCATCTAGAAAAGCACGTTGTTGGAAATTCAAACTAAAAGCTGCTTTCACTTTAAGAATTCTGCATTGAGATGGGCACCATGGCTCACCCTGTAAGTAAACCTAGCCACTTAGGAGGCCAAAGTTCAAAGGCAACCCTGGGCAAGAAAGTCCATGAGAGTTTATCTCCAATTAACTAGCAAAAAGCCAGAAGTGGAGCTGTAACCTTCTCCACAACAAATGTGCTCTTTTAATAAAATAAATACATTCATTTTAAACAAGTCCCAAACTTTAATTTTAAAAGGTTGGGATTTTTTGTTGCTGCTGGTGGTTTTTGCGGGTGTTTTTTTTTTTTTCACTTGTTTTCTCTCGGACCTGGGGCTTGAACTGGGGGACTGAGCTTTTTTGCTCAAGGCTAGTACTCTACAACTTTGAGCCACAGCGAACACTTGCAGTTTTTTGGTGGTTAACTGGAGATGAGTCTCATGAACTTTCCTGCCCTTGCTGACTTCAGACCGAAATCCTCTTATCTCAGCCTTTTGAGTAGCTAGGATTACGGGTGTGAGCCACTGTCATCTGGCATGGTGCTCATTTTTCAAAATGGTAATTATCCCCATGTCAGTATACCTCATTAAAAAATCCAAAATATCCTAGCTGGGCACTGGTAGTTCATGTCCATAATCCTACTCAAGAGTCTGAGAGCTGAGGGTCATAGTACAAAGCCAGCCCAGGCAGGAAAAGTCTGTGAGACTCTTACCTCCAATTAACCAGCAAAAAAGCTGGAAGTGGAGCTGTGGCTCAAATGGTAAAGCACTAGCCTTGGGCAAAAATCCTCAGGGAAAGCACTCAGGCCCTGA